GGGTTATCGCAAGCAATCAAACCCCTTAGTTAAGAGAGAATGAAAAGAAATGCTAGTTTACCTGTGTGGATTTGGTTTAATTTACCAAGGGGACTATCATAAACGAAAATGTGGATTATCGCCCTAATGGCTAACTAAATCTAATCTCATTTTTGAACTCCATCCAAAACTTTTTATAAGGTATACAAGAAATGAAGTATATCGGTGATGTATTTGCCAAGTGACCTTTTTCACCTTGTAGTATTGATAGAAACGTACCTGAACAATTTGTAATTGCTTGCGATATTTCACTTACATTTTCTCTCGGAATTCACGTATCCAGCTGACAAAATTTTCAACTACAATAATCTTTTAATGCAATGACGGTCCTTTTCAAATAATATATCGAGTTATATTGTCAGAATAAATAAACATCAATAAATTGAAACTACTACAATTAAGTCGGTTTAATTCTTTCCAAATCCTAATGTTAAAAGCATTCGTTGAAATGAAATGAATATTTTAACTAGACATTAATCATTGATCTATGCTACAGTTTAAATATGGCCTCGACACTTTTGTGATCCACATTGACAGACGGTCTGCATATTCTTTTTGCCCCAGTTGTAATCAAAGGTTATTTCCTCTCCCTGTAAAAATGGAACAAAAAAGAACAGGATAGCAATTAGATTTCAAATAAACGCATTGCATTGAAACCAAACTGTAGATATGCTAACGTACCGGTAGAATCTCGCGTCTTGCAAAGAATCCAATGCGAATTTGCCCTTGCCCATTTGAGTGCACTGTCCATTTGTTCGGCGCAACGTTTGGATCACAGGAATGGTTGATGAAACGTGCGTCGTTCCCATACACGGCCCCGTCAATGTACATATTTTGTCCGAGTGTCAGAAAATAGTAATTATCGTCTTTATTGACTTTTGCGCGATTGAATCGTTGATCAAATTCCACACTGTCAATCACCTCTCCCATGTACTCAATGATGAATTTCCCTGCGGGAATCTTCTCCTTGGCAAATAGGCCCCACCCCTTCGATTTGGTCATTTTGACTTGGAATGAAAACTGCTCTCCACGATGGAAATTTTGATTTTGACACTTGTCTTTGGCTGGACACAGATCAGGATCGCACTCAAAGTTTAGCATTGCATTGTAACAATCGTTTTCAATACTGCACGGTTGTGGATCGTCTGGGCGACATTTGCACTCATTGTATTCCGACTCCTTGAATCTGAATCCGAATATTTCAATTTCAACAATATTTATCGCAACATTGAACACAATCGGCGCCTGAATCCGAACATACAAAACAGACATTGGCCGTTGACGTTTACATATGACTCTGGGTAATCTGATACAATAAGATGATGCACATGTACTCAATGTTATTCTCACTCAACTTCGTTTATCAATATATAGAACGAAAATTTCAATATTTCTTGTTTGTGCATTACACATAGGGGCACCAAAACTCTCGTTATTTATAAATTACAATATATGAATTGCAAATATAATATCAAAAAATGAAACATAAGAAACGGTAGAAAAAAATCACAATTCTATACACAGCAATTAAGCTGTTGTTGTTATTTCATACAATTATAATGATTTGAAATGATTCATTCAAGTTTTCCGAAAAATGGTCCGTAATATTCATTCAAAGATACTCGTATGTTTGCTGCACTTTTTTCAACCAATCCCAGGTAGTTCAAAATTTGGAAATCATTTGGCCGGAAGAATTGGGAAATTTTTCGTACTTTTTGTGAGTGATTTTTTCTTCGATAGGTTTTATTTTCCTCTTCAATTTTATTGAAGCCTTCAGGCATCATCGTCTTTCCGTGCTTATTGGCCCAGTGTTTATAATAGTCACTCTTTCGTTGAAAGGTCGCCGAACATGTTTCCGAAGAACATTTAATTTTTTCCACTTTTGAATCATGCACTTTCTCATGCCGAATCAAATTATTTAGATTCTTTTTGATAAAAATGCCACAAAAACAACAAAGAAATTCTTTTTCCCCTTTGATTTTATTATATTTTTCGTTATTCATTTTTTCAAACACACAAATAAACAAAGTGACAATGTCAATGGTACAGCTGTCAACCCATGTATTATGTGTATATAGCATAGTTCGAAAAAGCCACCTAATAGATGGCGCTCGCGTTAGTAAGAGGAAAAAATGTCTTTGCACTAATCGTATGAAGTGAATGTCCTGTATGAACAGATTTTGAAGCCAATTTTTGTAATC